ATCGATGTTCATAAGGGAGATTGGTCTGAAGTTCTCTTTCTTTGTTGGGTCCTTGTGGGGTTTGGGAATGAGTGTAATTGTAGCTTCATAGTACGAATTGGGTAGTGTTCCTTCTGTCTCTATTTTGTGGAATAGTTTGAAGAGAATTGGTATTAGGTCTTCCTTGAAGGTCTGATAGAATTCAGCACTAAAACCATCTGGTCCTGGGCTTTTTTTAGTGGGGAGACTTTTAATGACTGCTGCTATTTCCTGAGGGGTTATGGGACTATTTAGATGGTTTATCTGCTCCTGGTTTAATTTTGGTACCTGGTATCTGTCTAGGAAATTGTCCATTTCATCCAGGTTTTCCAGTTTTGTTGAGTATAGGCCTTTGTAGTAGGATCTGATGATTTTTTTAATTTCTTCCGTTTCTGTTGTTATGTCTCCCTTTTCAGTTCTGATTTTATTAATTTGGATACTCTCTCTGTGCCCTCTGGTTAATCTGGCTAACGGTTTATCTATCTTGTTGATTTTCTCAAAGAACCAACTCCTGGTTTTATTGATATTTTGTATTGTTCTTTCAGTTTCTACTTGGTTGATTTCAGCCCTGAGTTTGATTATTTCCTGCCTTCTACTCCTCCTGGGTGTATTTGCTTCTTTTTGTTCTAGGGCTTTTAGTTGTGCAGTCAACTTGTTAGTGTGTGCTCTTTCCAGTTTCTTTTTGTAGGCACTTAGAGCTATGAGTTTTCCTCTTAGCACTGCCTTCATGGAGTCCCACAAGTTTTGGTATGATGTGTCCTCATTTTCATTGAAATCTAAAAAGTCTTTAATTTCTTTCTTTATTTCTTCCTTGACCAAGTCATCATTGAGTAGAGAGTTGTTCAGTTTCCATGTGCACATGGGTTTTCCATTGGTTTTGTCATTATTAAAGACCAGTCTTATTCCATGGTGATCTGATAAGAGGCAAGGGATTATTTCAATCTTTTTGTATCTGTAGAGGCTTGTTTTGTGACCAATTATATGGTCTATTTTGGAGAAGGTACCATGAGGTGCTGAGAAAAAGGTATATTCTTTTGTTTTAGGATGAAATGTTCTATAGATGTCTGTTAAGTCCATTCGGTTCATAACTTCTGTTAATGTCAAAGTGTCTCGGTTTAGTTTCTGTTTCCATGATCTGTCCATTGCTGAGAGTGGGGTGTTGAAATCCCCCACTATTATTGTGTGAGGTGTAATGTGTGTTTTGAGCTTTAGTAAAGTTTCTTTTATGTATGTAGGTGCCCTTGCGTTTGGGGCATAGATGTTCAGAATTGAGAGTTCACCTTGGTAGCTTTTTCCTTTGATGAGTATGAAGTGTCCTTCCTTATCTTTTTTGATTAATTTTGGATGGAAGTCGATTTTATTTGATATTAGAATGGCTACTCCAGCTTGTTTCTTGGGACCATTGGCTTGGAAAATTGTTTTCCACCCTTTTATTCTGAGGTAGTGTCTGTCTTTGTCACTGAGGTGTGTTTCTTGTATGCAGCAAAATTCTGGGTCTTGTTTGTGTATCCAGTCTGCTAGTCTGCGTCTTTTTATTGGGGAATTGAGACCATTGATGTTAAGAGATATTAAGGAAAAATGATTGTGGCTTCCTGTTATTTTTGTTATTAGAGGTAAAGTTATGTTTGTATAGTTATCTTCTTTTGGGGTTGTTGGAAGATTACTTCCTTGCTTTTTCTAGGTTGTAGTTTCCCTCCTTGTGTTGGCGTTTTCCATCAATTATCCTTTGAAGTGCTGGGTTTGTGGGAAGATATTGTGCAAATTTGGTTTTTTCATGGAATATCTTGGTTTCACCATCTATATTGATTGAGAGTTTTGCTGGGTATAGTAATCTGGGCTGGCAATTGTGTTCTCTTAGGGTCTGTATGATGTCCGTCCAGGCTCTTCTGGCTTTTATAGTCTCTGGTGAGAAGTCTGGTGTAATTCTTATAGGTCTGCCTTTATATGTTACTTGACCTTTTTCCCTTACTGCTTTTAGTATTTTTTCTTTGTTTTGTGCATCTGATGTTTTGATTATTAAGTGACGGGAGGTATTTCTTTTCTGGTCTAGTCTATTTGGTGTTCTGTAGGCTTCTTGTATGTTTATGGGCATCTTGTTCTTTAGGTTAGGGAAATTTTCCTCAATGATTTTGTTGAAGATATTTACTGGCCCTTTAAGTTGGGAATCTTCATTCTCATCTATACCTATTATCCTTAGGTTTGGTCTTCTCATTGTGTCCTGGATTTCCTGGATGTTTTGAGTTAGGAGTTTTTTGCTTTTTTCATTTTCTTTGACAACTGTGTCAATATTTTCCACCGTATCTTCTGCATTTTAGATTCTCTCTTCTATCTCTTGTATTCGGTTGGTGATGCTTGCATCTGTGACTCCTGATCTCTTTCTTAGGTTTTCTATCTCCATGGTTGTCTCCCTTTGAACTTTCTTTATTGTTTCTATTTCCAGTTTCAGATCCTGAATGTTTTTGTTTAATTCCTTCTTTGTGTTTTCTTGCATTTCTTTAAGGGATTTCTGTGATTCCTCTTTAAGGGCTTCTATCTGTTTACTTGTACTCTCCTGTATTTCTTTAAGGGAGTTACTTAATTCCTTCTTATAATCCTCTATCATCATCATGAGAAGTGATTTTAATTCTGAATCCTGCTTTTCAGGTGTGAAGGGGTGTTCAGGGCTTGCTATATTGGGAGAACTTGGCACTGATGATGCCAAGAAACTTTGGTTTCTGTTGCTTATGTTCTTGCGCTTGCCTTTCGCCATCTGGGTAACTCTAGTGGTACCTGCCCTCTCTGTGTAAGATTGGAATATGTATTTCCAGTTATCTTGCTTATTGCAGAGCTCCTCGGAGTCCAGAGGTCTCTGTGGTCTTATGCCCCTAATCTCCCGGGTGGAAGAACTCCTGGGACTCAGGCCACCTCTTAGATCTGGTAATCCTTCTGTTCTGAGTGCAGTGGCTCCTCGGCTGCTCTGAGTGCACTGGGTTCTCGATGACTCAGGATTCAGTTTCAGCTGCTCTGAGTGCAGTGGCTCCTAGATGACTCAGGATTCAGTTTCTCCACAGGACAGGAGCAGACCAACTCTGTGTCAGCTGCTCTGAGTGCAGTGGCTCCAGCTGCTCTGAGTGCAGTGGGTCTCTGATGACTCAGAATTCAGTTTCAGCTGCTCTGAGTGTAGTGGCTTCTCGATGACTCAGGATTCAGTTTCTCCACAGGACAGGAGCAGACCTACTCTGTGTCTGCTCCAGTCCCAGGGACCAGGCAGGGGCCAAAGGGAAGTGGAATTCCGGAGGGGCGGGGTTTGGGTAGCTGCTGTGCCCTGGATGTCCCTGGCTCCCAGATATTTTTCTGGGGCTTAGGGAGTGAGATGGAGTTCTTACCAGCTGCTCTGAGTGCAGTGGCTCCTGGATGACTCAGGATTCAGTTTCTCCACAGGACAGGAGCAGACCGACTCTGTGTCTGCTCCAGTCCAAGGGACCAGGCAGGGGCCGAAGGGCTTGAGATTGTATTTTAATTACAAAATTTCTATATTCCCTTTCATCCATCCAAGATCTTGCAAATAACTTTCTTCATCTTCTTCAAATTTGGGGCCTCTTTTTTCATTGTTTTTTATTGCATGCTTGTAAATATTTGTGTGTATATATGTGTCCATGTATATATTTGTGTCCATATAATATACATATATAAATATATATATACACAGATAGTATACATATGTGTGTATAAATTATATATATATATATATATATATATATATATATATATATATATATATGGCCTTATACTTGTATGTGTATTTTTGGCACTGGAATTGCAGCTGGTGTGCTTCTCCCTGGTGAGGACTTTCTCTCCAGCTCATGGCTTTATTCAGGCCTGTAGATCTTTCTGTATATTTCATGCTATCCTAGTCCACTTTGATATGTTTGTCAATGTCCCCCTTATTCAGTTGATATTTGAGTGGTCAGGCTGGTGATTCTTTAAGGATATAGAATCAGCTGTTACTAAAAGACATAAACTAAAAGCAAAGTCTTTAATCTTTTGACTCTTATGATCTTTCTGTCCTGCTTCTATAGTGTTCTCTGAGTCTCAGGTTTTGGACTACATTATAGATGTATTCTTTGGAATCAACTTCAAAACATTGCATCTTGTTTGATGTGATTTTCTGAAGTCATCCTCATCTGTTTTGAAGATTTGTTTTCTTGATGACAGATGAAGATTACATTTGTTTGTGAGGTTATTGACTGATGTTCATATACTTTTGTCAGGGTTATGCTGATTTAGTAAATCAGTTGTATATTCTTGTCCAATAACAATAATTTCACTCAGTTATTTGGTGAATATTTACCTAATTTTACTGTAGTGGGCATGATGATCCCCTTGTTTGAAAGACCGGTAAGTCCAGTTACAGAGAAATTGCTTACCAATAAGATAAGTGTGCCACTACTGAACCAATAGGGCTATTGTGCAATGGTGGTCGCTGGTCATTGATGCAGTTCATAAGTGTCATAGTGGAATAGGACTATTAGTTGCCTCCAAACATTTAGAACCTTGCACAGTTTCTTCTGATCCCATAAAAGCTAGTCCTCTGGGAGAAAACAGACAGGCAATTTCCTATTGCTATAATGCATGGTATCCTGGGAAATGAGGATTTAAATTTCACCACTAGTATTTCAACAATGTCACCACCAGTAGGCAGAATATTTCAGGAGTCTGTTGGAGAGCCATGAATTAAATGCACTATAGGTTTTCGTAGCATAGAATGATTCCATTCTTGTTGTCATTTTTTCCTATATAATCCATCCTACTCCTGTATTTACCTCCCTTTTAATTTCCTAAATTTGCTCCCCTATCCAGTTTCCCATGAGATCACTTATATTCTGCTAGAATCTTTAACCTCCTCGAACGTCCAATGTTTTACCCATCACAGCTTTGAAGCTCCAGAGTTTCTTTTTCCCCTATAAGATCTCAAGATTTTGTCCAAGGAATTATGGAATATATTAGGGACCCATGGTGTCCATATCTTTGGCCCAGCAACTCAGAGAAGGCAGCACAGAAAGAGCGGCTTGTCTCAGCTTACTGTTTCCAAGAATCAGCACAAATGAGTGGCTTACAGGAAAAACTATTCCAGAAATGTGGTCAAATAAAAGTACTAGTTTTCGACCCATCAATCCATAGCTCAAAATTCCTATGACAATAAAAAGTAAGTATATTGTATACAGTAGTAGGAAGGAGAACCCAGTTTGCAAGGCTTTCATGTGGGCTATGGTGCTGGCATCTCTAGGTTGTCTGGCCTTGACCTGCATCTTCTTGTGATGCTTCCACAGTGAGGAGATGAGCATGAGAAAAGCTACCAAGGAAATTGTGAAGGGTATGAGCATGAAAAATGAGTTTATGGGTAATAAAACTTGGGATGAGGTGGTGATTAAGAAAATTTTGGATAAGTTGGTGAATAAGAAAATTCTTGGAAATTGTGGTGAATTCCTCAAACTATAAGATACATTTCCTTCATAAACCTCAATTGAGAAATGATCATACAGCCTTAAAGATAACAGGTTTAAGATCAAGAAAATTATTGATACCAGTATTATCATTAAAACCACCTTTTTAACTCTCCACTTTAGGTAGAGAAAGAAAGAGTTAGAAAAATTGGCTATCTTGAGAAAATAAAAGACACCAAGGCATGTAGCAAGCCAGATGCTGAAATGGTTGTTCACTACCCAGATAATGCCCATTGCTGTAAACATTTCTGATCTCATAAGCAAACGTGGGCAGAGTATGAATAACAGTATACAAATGAGTAAAGACCACACATAAATGAGTCTGGTAAGGGCCAAAGCGGTAAGAATCTGATCCACTGAAGAAATCTTTCTTCTCTTGGCCCAGTCTATGATATTCACTACTGCTATGAATCCATTTCCTAAGATCCCCATTACTACTTCCACAAAGAATATGATTATAAAAGTAAACAATTCACTGTTCTGTATTGTCAGTGAGAACATGCTTCAATTTATAATGTCTCTGCTTCATTTAAAAAGCTCCACTTATTTGCTGTTAAAAAATCCAAATAATGATGCTTTAAAATCCCATATACACATTAATGACTAGGAACCATCTAAATTATCCAGGAATTGCTTCATATATTCTTTACGAAAATCTTGGCTTTCTCTTCCAAAAGAGTTCAACTCTGTTTTCTCCAGACATTGTATCTTATATTCAGCTTTCTAAAGTTGAATAATATGCTGAATTTTCATGTGCTAACCTATAAAAAAGATATATTTATTTGCATTATGTTCACTTTATCCCTATTTGCACATTTTAGTCACACAACTTGGTTTCTGAGCAATACTACAAAAATTAGGCACGTGGTACATCCCTAGGTAATGATTTATAATTATTCTTGTTAAGTAAGTTAATGAAACTCTTTACTATGTGCGCACACACACAAACACACACGCAACAATCTTTGTAGACATTGGTCAAAAATCTTTCTACACAGTACCAAAATTATATAAAAATCTATTTGAATACTACTGTTCCTATGTTTATTTCACCAAAATTATACTAGTCATTTTAATTTATATAACACCATATTGGCAGTCATTTATAGATGTACAAGACACACATGCACAAATATCCCTTTTATGGAAAATCAACCCTTTTCTGTTTTCATACCAATAAAATTTCTCACTGATTCAATAATCATGTATTTATATCATGCTTAGAATCATGACAATTCCCTGTATTTTGTTTTACTTATTACAAAAATTATAATAAAATATTGAGACCTACTGCTGTCCTGAAAGTGTTCTGACAAGCCATGCCTCTAGCAATCTTTTTTCACTTTATATTGTAAGATAGTCTCACTGAATTGCTTAGTCTCGCCTTAGAGTCACTCTATTCCAGAAAACCATAGACTTGTGATTCTCCAACCTTTTAGTTACGATTACACTTGTAGCCCCAAGGCACAGCTTCCCTCATAGTTTTTGATATAATTCTAAACAGAATTCTGTTACCAATCCACAGTATTACAGTGAAGTGTTCAAAATATTGCTCCAAGTGTAGGAATGAAGAATTTTCCATGGTCTCTGGAGCTGTGTTTAAGGTAAATGACTTCCTTTGCACAGGAAGAATCTTCCACACTCTTACCTCTTTCTGTCCATAGGTTGATGCCTTTATTAGTAGCAAAGATCTGAAGCTTTATGTCTACTCTTCCTTGCCTACCATTAACATCTTCTTTGTTAACATCACAATGGAACCCAGGACATGTTAAGAGTGATAAACAACCTAGGCAAGATGGAAAGTAAAAAGCATGGTTATAGTCATCCTATTTAAGGACTTATCAAACTAAAGAAAATAATATATTACATATTACCATAAAACAGAAAAAACAAGTATCTTACTTATCATAAATGGAAGGGAAAACTGGAGAATTATATAGTAAAAGACTGACTCAACCTTGCTTATAGGGCACTAAGAAACACACTATGCAAAGACTAGCAGTCCTATATAATTTAAAATTTACCAGTACACTACAATTAGGAGATAAATAAATTGAAAAACAAGTCAGGCAAGGATGCACAGTTTAAGGGAATAAAAGGAAACAAACATAGCACCAACACAGAGATAGATTGGTCTTCATTGTATTTTTTTCCAGTATAGTAAAACATCTGAATGAATTTACCTATAAAGAAGAAAATTTTGGTACAGACTTCTTGAAGTTTCAGCTCTTATCTCTTGGCTCCATTGTTTTGTGGTTTGTGGTATGGCAGAATAGCGAAGCTCTCGTGGAGTAAAACTGTTCCTGCCATGAGGCAAACCCGTGTAGAGTGAGAGGAAACACCTGTGCCCCTAATATCCCCTTTCAGAGCATGCCTCCTGTGATGTAATTTCCTACTTCTAAGCTCCTCCTACTTCTTATAGGTTCCACATCTTTCTGTAGCACACCAGATTAGTGACCTCGGGTGTGATTTATTGCTTTACATGGGCATTTAACATAAATATGTAATTGTTCTTCTGGCTTATCTCCCCCAAGTAATAAGAATATGCTATGAGAGTAATAATGCAAATACAAGAATAGGGCCCAACTGTGTGGAGGGAAAGCTGATGGCAGAATTTTCTGAGTTTTAGAAAAGGGGCTGAACTAAGTAAGGTTTCGTACACTCCATTCTTAAGACCTTGTCTGAGGCACTACCACTGTTTCCTTTCACTCTGTATGGAAACAGAGATTCACTTGAATATCCACTTGACATCCAATTAAAAGGCCACACCACTTCAAGGACAATCTTTTTCATTTAAAATAAGAATAACTTCCACTATTTGCAAGGTTCAAAATAGAAAGAAGGCATTTTAGGAGATCAGTGTCATTATTTATTTTAGAACCAGCATTTTATTAAGAAGGAGAAGTAATCAATTAATTTCATGTTAGTTGTGTCATTCTTGACAAGTTGTATATATTGCCTGTAGAAAACATAATTAATGTGCTAAATCATACATAGTTATCTATGTATCTGTATACATTGTTCATTGTTTCTAAAATTATAACTCTTTGTCTATTAATGTATTGTTATATAAACCTCCATATAAAATCTCTATGATTGAAGAGAAAGAAAAATTATGCTTTCATTTGTGTGGATTTTTAGTAGTGTTGTTTTTAATTTTAACTTGTACTGTTGAAGGTAAAAATAGAATGTTATACAGTGCAAATAAATTCAAAAATCAACATATATCTAAATACAAGAATCATAATGAAACAAATGAGGGTAATCACCTTAATGCTTTGTGGACCAGGTAAAGAAAATATATGACAGCACATTAAACAATTGCATCTTCAGAACTGGAAATACATTGATTAATAGAACCTCGGAGGCTCTGTTATAATTAGGGAGAGAAGAAACAAAAAAGGAGAATTAGCTCAGGACACTTAGTGATCAATCCTAAAACACTTGATATGGTTATGTCCTGCTGTCATTTGGTCTTGCATGAATTAAATATTTGAACACAAGAAATTTTGTAGTCCACTAAATGAAGTGTTGGTTTCTAAATATCAGGTCCTCTCCCTCAAAAATTTGCCTCCTGTCCAAGCCTATATATACATATACATATACATATACATATACATATACATATACATATACATATACATATACATATACATATACATATACATATACATATACATATACATATACATATACATATACATATACATACATATATATACATATATATACATATATAATTTGTGTGTTATATCTAATCCTTAATGTATGGTTGAAATGTATCAATTTGCCAGGTGTCCAAATTTTGTATTGCTCCTCATCTGTGGAATAAAAAAGCCTTAATATCTTTAAACTTGTGAAATATTCTACTTCTATTGTAGGTTCTGAGCCACAGGGCTCTGAACAGAGTCCCAGGACTCAGTAATGCATAATCACTATAGTCTTCATAGAATAACACTGTTTGCAACAACAGTCTTGAAATTACAGGAATCTTTGTAAAATTTTTGTCATACTTGCGCTGGATTAACATACTTGGACTCTGTCATAACCAGATGAAATACAGGATGAATGCAGATAAGCATAGATTTTTATTATTCAGGCTGATGCTACTAGGTGGGCAGACATCATCTCTGTTGTTGTGTATGTTGCTTCTGGATTCATAAACATCTTTCAGTAGATGTTCATTGTCAATTAAATGGGTTTCTAAGAAAAGCAAAAAACTTCACTGCTTCATACAGCCTATATCACTTGAGCTACCAGGTCTTCTGATTGTATTTGTGTTACTTTATTCCTGAACCTGAACACACGTACTCATGCCTGCTACGTACACACTTAGTTTCACCACCCGCACCCCGCACCAACTTTTACTGTTCATAAAATGTCATGCTATTATAAGAAAGTGAAAATTCCTAAAATAACAAAATGCTTTCAGCAAACAGAAGTTAAAATAGATTCCATTGAAAACTAGAGTAACATGAAAAAACATTACACCACCAAAACGAAAAAAAAATCTATATTTCTAATGCAGCAACACTTTAATACAGTTCCTAACGTTGTGGTGACCCCCAACCATGAAATTATATTATTGCTATTTTATAACTGTAATTTTGCTACTGTTCTGAATCATAGTATAAATGTCTGATATGCAAGATATGTGATATGAAACCACTGTTAAAGTGTTGATAAATCCCCAAAGGAGTCACAATCTACAGACTGATAAAAACTGTTCAATACAAGAGAATAAAGTCCTAGATTCATATGATTTAACAAAGTTTAATCACTATTATAAAAAATTAACAGAATCATAAGAAACAACAATATTGTAGCAGTTACAAAATCTAAACACTTATAAAGTCTGGGGACTGATTGATTCTATAGAGTTTTACTAAATATTAACACATTAACTTGTGTTATGTGAGTATGTGTGTTTGTGTGTTAATGTGTAGGTGCTTTTGTGTATGTATGTTTGTATATATGTTGTATGTATGTATGTATGTATGCATATATCTATGGAAGGTTCTGTACCATGACTAAATTAGTTTTATTTTAAACATATAGGTCTGATCCAATAAATCCAAATAAATAATGCAATGCATTAAATAAACAAGCTAAAAGGCATAGATGACATTTTCTGAGTAGATTCAGGAAAGGTATTTTACAAACTTACTTATAACTTCCTGATTGAAGTCTTGAAAGAATTATAAATACAAAGAATATTGTATTATTTACAAGCAGTAAACACACACACAACAACAACTACCAACAACAACAAAAACACCTTTAGTAGCACCAATTCTATGTACATATTTCATCTGCTTTCTAAACATAATAGTAGAGTATGATAAGATATAAATTATTATCTGTAACTAGAAGTAAAAACATCTTTTTAAGCTATACATACCCTTCTTTCATAAGTAAATATGGTGACAGTTACTTTTTCCCAAT